TGATGACAAAACTTCAGGCCCCGCCACAGACACTTACAGTAAAAGGAACACCAGCAACTGGGTCAGTACCCTAGAAGATTCGAAGAAATAAAGAGGCCTGAATAAAGCAACTCAAGTCCAGAACTGATAGGCCTAATACACTTGCGTATTCTGTCCCAGAATCAAGCGTACTCACTGGGGTATTTTGAAAGCTCATTATATTTGAGTTCAATAAATCTGAACTGCATAACCTTCAGATGTGTGTTTCCCATGAACACTCCTCGAGCTATTCAAAGAGAAATGCTCATTATTTTTTCTATTGTCTACAAAAGCTAGGCCTAATTCCCTTTATAAAAAGCATATCTGTGTTTTGAGAGAGAGATTTGGGCCATGATGATGAAATGGGTCACAGTTCTGCAAAGATGTGCGCGATGAAAGTGAAATATAATAGTGAAAGTAAAATTCTTTAAACAGGTTTCGTGTCCTGCAGGTATCAAGCATGTATTCACCTAAGGATTTCATGACACGTCTAACTGCTATATGCATCTGTTTTTGAATCAATGCATGGTTGAATTCATCCATCCGTATTATATACTAATCTAATTGCGGTCTATTTCACTACAGAAAAACATACTGTACTAGGAATAAACCTGTTTGAGTCCGGTTGCTGAGAGTTACTGCTCACAGGATAGACTCGACTCCCCATCGGCATGCAATGAATTTGTAGTCAAACCTGCGTTTTGTAAAAAAGGTGTTATTGTGAAAACTGTTGAACAAGAGTGACGTGCCTTGAAGGTAATAAGCGCTAGTCTGGTCTCTACCTCTAAAGGTCTAGGCGAAATACAAAACTAAATTCACTGGGAGCAACCTGGGTTTAATGCCTTTCAACATCATTTATTGTAAACAATATAATTAAGAGAGGTGGGTGATAAGAAAGCACTTAAAACTGAAAGCCAGAGGACAACTTATTCAAATTAAAAAGGTAATTAAAATGTATTATCAGTCATTTACATTTTAAGAACAATTGAACAAAGAATGTTAGTATGAAAAGGCCTCTGACTGGTGTGTGTGTGTGTGTGGGGGGGGGGATATTTGATCTTTATGATATTATTTATGTGGAAATATATCATATTTGTTTCCACATCTATGACATAATTGGACAATAATGCATGCAATATAAAATTTATTATTATAATCTGATAAGATTCGGTTATAGTTTAATTTCTATTTTTGTCTCCACATCCATGACATAATTGGGGCATACAACTATGCATACAATATGAAACCTAACGGTGAATTTAATCATGTGATTTTTTAAAAATGGAAAATGAAAGCAATGACATTTCAGCTTCAAAGCAATAATAGGCTACGCGTGTCTCTTAGCAGTAACAGTGGCTACTTACCTTAGAAAATGCTTCATCGTGATTGTCTGCTTTGGTACTGTATAATTCACATTCGCGAATGGTCTGACCACCTGCACAAAACACAATTCTAAATAAATACTTCAATGTATCGTTCTTTAATTATTGTATTGCATTAAACGTGGATACAAATCGCAATAATGTCATAAGGACGTCAGTGTGGCGTTAGGCGGATTAAGACGTTGCCGTGGGTAACTGCTCCTGCAACCAGCAACCAACATACGATCTACAAAATCAACTTTCATATTATGTCTGATGCGTTATTTCATTATAAATGAGACGTTTATAATAATGTAAAATATCACAGGTTATATAACACCAAATGGACTCATTTACCGTCGAGCCTAGCTCTTTAATTTTGCATTAGGTGTTATTCTGCTCTCTATTCTACACCACACATAGGTCGTGTGTGGAAACTGAGTATCAAATAATAGATCGGAGTATCTGATAAAATATAAATAAATGGCAGAAACATACGTTTCAAGATGTCGCTGTGAATGGGAATATGCCTGTCCTCCTCTCTCTGCAAGGCAGATACCTGTTATTCCTCCATGATGAGCATGTGAATGAGGGTGGGCGGGCGCTTCAGAGCATCGCAATGCAGCGAACACAGCAGACCCTGCTGTCACTCGAACTCTTCAATACTTAGTTGAAAGTATTATAGATTTAACTGTTTCTCTATCATTTAGAATTGAATAGTATGATCTTGCTCTTCTAGAAGCAGGAGTGGGACATTCCTCAGTAAACTTTGAATTAGCATTTTATTCTAACATCTTGAAACTTCTGGAATCACAAAGTCTATTTGATGTGATTTTTACATCTGGAAGACGTATTTTTAAGAGTGTTTTCTCATCTGCAATACGTATATGTGTACGTTTCCTGTCAGATGTTTAAGATGTCAGTTTAACATGGATTCTAAATCATTACATCTTAAAGGAATTTTCTAAAAGTCTATTTGACATCTGACAGGAAACATATTCAACTTATTAGATTTATTATTAATATTGAACATGTGACGTATTGCAGATGAGCAAACACTCTTAAAAATACATCTTTCAGATGTAAAAATCACATCAAATAGACTTGTGCTATCTGGGAAATTCATTTAATGTAGGATACCCTGTTTCTGTTAATTACAAATATTATAAACAAGCAGCTTTTTCATAATTCCAGTAGAAATACCATTAACTACCAACAATATAGCCGTCTGCTTTCATATGGGGGGCCTTTAAATATTCAGACCAAAAAAAAAAAAAAAAAAAAAGTTAAGAACCACTGTTAAAGCAGGACCACCAATAAAACTTGGTATAGTTTTTTTTTTTTTGTTTTTTTTGTAAAACTTGAATTAAAAATGAAAAATAAATCTATAAAGCATTTCATTAATTTAATTTTAACATTTACTTACAAAAAAAAAAAAATCTGTTCTTTATTGAATGGACCTGAGCTAACAAAAACCAACAATGAACGATTTTTTTTTTTATTTACTAACATTAGCAAAGATAAATAGCCTACTGTAACAAAATGCTAATTAATGTTAATGCATTGACTAACAATAACTAATAAGACCTTATTGTAAAGTGTTAACCTTTTTTTTTTTTTTTACTGCATATTCATATAATTTTATAAATATTACTAACATTCAAAGGCAGTCCCTGGGTTGGCTGAGAGTCTGGGGAATCATCCAGGAGTCCAAAAACGTTGTAATGTAAAGCCAACTTCGCATATTTGACAAACACCACTATATTACTGATTAACTATGAAACATCAAACCACTTTAATCGTCATAAATAATAACTCCAAATATGCATATGATACATAAAATATAAACATACATAAGCACGTGCAATACTAATAATAAATCTAACAAGTTGAATATAAAAAAGTTATTTTTCAATACAGTTTCATAGCTTTTCATAATTTTCTAATGCAAGAAAAAAAAAGTATTAAATCAAAAATACAAAGATAAAGAATGTTAATACAAGTAATAATACTAGAAGTTAGTACTGTTCAAATCATAGTGCATTACTTTCTAAAATATTTTTTTCTTGTTTGAATGCACCATCTGAACTTCAATCTCAGAAGATTTAAATAACATGCAAATTGGGGTGTATAAAAATACAGTCTGAAGGCACACCTTAGTGGACTTAAAATCCATAAAAAACTAATTAAACACTGCCTTTGGCAAAAAATATAAACTCTATCCATTACTGTACATTGTAGAGCTTTATGTCAGGGAATAGTGCCCATTGCAATGTGCTTTGTGATTGGTCCCTGTTCTATCCAGATCATGCCCTTCCTTCTGCAGCTGATCTACGGCTCCCTCTTGTTGGACATCAGCAGATGAAGCAAGGTGATACACCTCATCATTAGTGGAAAACGACTGACCGCGAGTGTAGGTCGGTACGACGTTGAACATGGTAAAACCAAGTGTGATCACCACAAAAGACACGATATACAGACCTGTGAACTGTGAAGAAGAAAAAAAATATGCAAGTGATCAAGCAAACTCTAGAAGCTAAAACTGTATAAGCAGAAATATCGAGAATTGGTGCAAACACAGCACCCATGGCCAATTATCATTTCAGCATGAGGACTGAGACGAAGATATTGGAAAATATTTTAATCTTTTTGGCTCTTTTATTGAACATTTTCTGAAAATGTGTTCTTTCTACTCACCTTGTAGTGAAAAAGGAAAATACCACAGAAGAGGCTGAAGAGGTCAGCAGTCAGCAGCGAGAGGTTTACAGCAGTGGCGCTGGTCATCTTCACTACGACAGGCATGAAACTGTACAGCCCATACATGCACAGAGTATACGCAACAAAGAGCAGGCCTACAAAACACAAATATTCAGTTATCTAATGACAATATTATCTTCAAGTCAATGACAATTAAAAAAAAGGTACGATTTTACACTTAGTTACGCACTTATTCTCCAGTTCCAGCTGGTGACAGGTATAGCTTTGGATTCAAGTATAGCCCTTTAAAACAAAAAGCACAGTTCACCTAAAAAGAACTAGGGCTAAAGATTTACAGTATTGTTTAAAAGTTTGGAGTCAGTAAGATTTTTAATGTTTTTAAGAAAAATAATTTAAAATAACACTAATATACTCTAAAATGTAACATTTGGTCTTCATCGGCTGTGTGCAAATAACATCTTTGCCTGGAAAAGTTTGGTTTGAGTTCTAGACATGTGAGAAAACGCCATTTTCAGTGCTGTATATCCAATGATGAGGACTAGCACTGGAATTGTTACCGGAAAACAACGCCATCGTTCATATCATGCTATATCAAAGCCTCCAGAGCTGAATTTCAAATATGGTAATAGGCGTTTTGTTTCAGACACTTGCTGTAAGCAGTAGACCAATCACAACAGACTAAGCCATCAGACCAATCAAAGCAGAGTAGGCTCTCAGAAAGAAGTCTTTCAGTGAGATGAGGTGATGTACATTATGATTTATTTTTACTTTTTTTACTTAGTGTGCATGTAAATTTGACCTTGAATGCTCAACTTAATGATTAAATTAAAATTTGAGATATAAATCTTTTACAACATTATAAAAATGTCCTTCTGTCAATCATACCGACCCCCAAACTTTAGCACGGTAGTGTACATATCGCTTCTCTTCTTCAAAAGCGAGCATGATGCGGACATTCACTTTAAAAATGAGGTGAAGAACAAAACTTACATTTGCACACCGCTGATGAGGGTCCCAAAGAGCCCCATCATGCCCAAGAACTCCACCCTGCTTAGGTTTTTCACTGTGTATTCCTGACAGACGTTAGACACTGCATACAGAGCAGCACTGATCAACACAAGCCCATCCCCCAACAACACATGACTACCTGCAGTGAAAGAGAGACAGAAATTAACTATTTTGGAGCACAATTTCAAGCAACAGACAAACTACAGTCTGATAAATTATTCATGCATCTTCTAAACTCAGTTGTCCTTATTTCATATAATCTTATCTTAATAACAGATATGAAATGTCCTCATTATAGTATAAAGTACAGTACTTACTTGAGCCTTGGTCTCTCCCCGCCAGCAGATCTGCTCCCACCATCGCCCCGACCCCAAACAAGCACACGGCCACAGCTACAAAATGCAATGGTCTGTAGCGAGTCTTCAAGAAGATCCACGAGAGCACCATCAAAACCGGGATAACAAAACAGTCCAGCAGCTGCAACACATAACAGGTATTATATTATATTTAACACGAACACTCCAAAGTGTGTGCGTGTGTACGAAGAATGTATTCTTACCTGTATACTTGTAAGCGTAGTGAACTGGTATGCCTTTACAACAGTGTAGTTGGCTTGCACATCCGTAAAAGCCATCAGAAAATACTTCCACCACTTTGTTTTTAAAATTTGAACAATATTACTTTCACCTAAATTATGGGGGCAAAAAAGTATTAATCCAAGCTGTGAACAAAACTACATGAGGTTTTATTAGTACATTTTAACTTTGGATGTTGACAACACTCAATTTAATTTAGCGATTGTACTCTCTACACCATGTTTAAAGTTTATGGCCTGCCCCACTCGGGAACTTCTGTAAAAAAATTATCCCCAAGCTTCCCAGTGGTAAATAGGACTTGAGATGGTGTTCATGTCCAATTTTTAACTAGGAAACCTGTATTTATGATAATTTTGATAGCATCATGTGAAGGCAGCATTAATCCACACGATTGGCCATACAGGCATGAATCCTTAAATAAGTTTTATTTAAAATCTGGAGCAATGCTATGATAAGTATGGTCATGGCAACATTATTCTAAACATCTTATAAAATCAGTGAGTGAGTGATTCCATGCAGGGAAGGTGTGCTGCAGCGTACCTCTCCTGAAGGCTAAGGCTAAAGTATAGGTGAGCAGCAGCAAGGTGTAATTGAGAAAGCTTTGCAGCATTGGCGTCTCTACCCCATCATCTGCCAGATACTGACATGTAACTGCCGTCCCACATATCAGCATGGACAGGGCCTGACCCATTACAATAGTTTTGAAGAGCTGCCTGTAAACACAATTCTCAAGTTACTATGAAAGAATTGCCATGAATATGCAGATAACTGACACTTAAAAACATTTTCAAACCATAAAATAGAAATCATACCATGTAAAAACAACTTTGAGCGTGAGATTCCGAGGACCACAAAGAAATTTCCTCCAGCGGCTGAGAGTTCCCACGCTTTCATACGTAAACGAGTCCTCTCCTGCCTCACGATCCATATTTTACATATAAAGACCTAGAAAATTCAGAGAAAGTGTATGAAGAATATCATGTTGGAAAGGTCACGCTGGACGTAGGCAAAAGTACCACCCCATTGTTTTAAGAATCCAGGATACGCACACAAAAAGACCAGTTTAAACAATAAACTGACACAAAGACATAATGTCATTCAACAAAATTTGAACCTCCTTCTCCATGCTTGTAAACAATGGGGCGGTACTTCAGCCTACGTCCAGCGTGACTACGTAATGCCTAGCGCGTCACAGACCGGCACAAGACTAAGAACTGTGGTTGAAGTACATACATTTATTTTCTTTTTTAGAAAAAGACCGATCGTTTCACTAGATAATACGTATTCCTCAGCTGGGATCGTGCAGAGCCCTTTGAAGCTCTTCAAAGCCCTTTGAAACTGCATTGACTTGGACCTCAAAAATGTGGTTACTGTTGAAGTTCATTGTTTGGCGAAAAATCCTGAAATGTCTTTTCCACTGAAGAAAGACAGACATGAACATCTTGGATGGCATTGGGGTGAGAAAATTATCAGGAATTATTAATTTTGAGGTGAACTAATCCTTTAATGCAAGTCACATGATGTTGGGTAACATCTACTTATTAGTTGAGGAAATAATCTTAATCTCTTCAGGAATGTATACCCAATAATGCCTACCTCAAGTAGGCCTCTTTAATAAAAATAAGCTTTCCTTGTTTAACTTACAGGTGATAAACCAAAATTAAAAGGTAATTAGCCTTTTTAATACTCACCAACTTTAAGTATAGTAATTAAATGAAAGTGTACAATGTACTATAAAACCTACACTAGATCAAGATATATAACAGCCTCTTAACAATATATATATATATATATATATATATATATATATATATATATAAAATTGAAAATACTAAAGATTAACATAGCAATTACAATTTACTTTTAATTAATTCTACATAAAGACCTAATAAAAACATTGGCATAAGCCGAAAAAATAATAATAAAATGGGTTAAAGTTTGAATGAATTGCTATGTTGTTTATAGACTAGCGCTTTGGACACACATGTGGAACGTCTGAAGCTGTGATGGTTGTAATGCGGCTCTCCTCAGAGCACGTGGCGACCTGTCAGGCACTTTAGACAAATTTTGAATAGCCTAAACTATTTTTGACCACCGATATCAAAATAGGGTGAACTCATTCATTAAAAAAATAAATTCGTTTGCGTTTTAGTATTTCTAGAAGCTTTGTAGCTCGATAGCTCAAAGCAAACTACGCTACAAAAATATGCTACGCTACAAAACACAACGGCACGTGTTTACAAGTAAAAGAATATAACCAAGGGTCTGTTAAGTACCTGAATATAACTGATCCATCATGTCCGTAGTTTACGAATCAGATAAAATACAACCACAGAATCATCTTTCCATGAAAGCGAGAAACCATAAATGCGCAACTTAAGGCCCCGCCCATTTCCCAAACAGCCAATTGGAGCTGATTGTACGTCCTCTTTATTAAATTGTGACCAATGGCAGCACACACGGAAGTTGTGTGCAATGAATGAACACGAATGAACGCTTAACGGGTATCAAATCGATCAGAAATGTACTTAAGTTATTTGAAAGATTAATAGTTTGGAAACGCCATGTTTAAGTGAGCCGTTACATTTATTTCTATCAATGATTAATGAGAATTGTGATTTCAAAACGAGTCTATATCTGCAACTACAAACTGCAGCAGCTGGTCGGCCTTCAGATTGTTATGGGAAAGAAGAACTCATCTTGTCCTTCAATCAGGCATGCCGACTCCAGTCCAGATTATCACCAAGGACAGGGCAATTCGTTTGACCCTGCTAACGTTAGATTGCGTGTCAATATTCCTTGTTTATTAAATATTTTTTCTCACTGGCACTACTTTAATGGCAGGATGATAAAAACAATCGCGTAATCCTATAACAAAAAATAATCAAGTCACACACACACACATAATAAACAACACTGCAGACAGTGCTGCTGATGCAGTCTGTCGCAATTCTCCCTAGCAACCAAACCTTCTCAAACATCGCGAGATTACACGAGGTTCAAGTTGAAGAAACATGGCGACGTCTAATTTATTGAAGGTAGGAGGTCCCACAATGTGAGATTATTTTGCATCGTTTGCGTCTCCCAGAGTGTTATGACAGTGATCCTATGAGCCGGTGACTGTGCGCTTCTAATTAGATCGCTAAACATGACGCGTTCATTTCAAACTACATTGTTCGAGTTGTTCATTGCAGCTAGTGAGGTTTTGAGCTAATATAATGTTTAGGGTTTCAGAGCTCTATTCAACTATGTCTCTCTTCACTGCACAGTTTACAGTAATAAATAAAACTACCTGCTATCATGGGACTGCATTGTGCTTTGTGTGGATCACGAGAATGATATATATATATATATATATATATATATATATATATATATATATATATATTCTTGATTAAAATTACAAACCAAAACTAATTAATTCAGCCTGTGCATATTTGGTTTATGTCAAGCTTGAAGCTCACCTGGTGCCTCTGGTCTCTAATGATAAAGCTGTAATAATCCATCAACATTTATTATAGTGCATGATAAAGCTGTAATAATCTATCTACGGATATTATATTGCACTGTACTTCTGTTAGTGTTATACAATTTTGCTATAATGTAAACTTAATTAAATGTAATGTTTTTTTTAAATGCATAAAACTCCTAACATATTTTTGAAGAACTGTTTATCTCCTTTCTTAGAATAAAGGCTCCCTGCAGTTTGAAGACAAATGGGATTTGATGCGGCCCATTGTTTTGAAGTTACTACGTCAGGAGTCAGTTACTAAGCAGCAGTGGTTCGATTTGTTCTCGTAAGTTGTCTTCGATGTGACATAGTCTGTACTGACTGAAATATCAAGTCAGTGTACTGTACATCCAGACTTTTATTTATTTAACTAATGGTGCTGTTTGGGTCTGATTTTCACCTTAATAATATCAACTAGCACTAACAACATACAGTAGGTTAAATTGTTGCACAATGAGTAGAATCTGATCTTAGATCATCTCTTGATACTGTTTTTGGTTTGCAGAGACGTCCATGCAGTGTGTTTATGGGACGACAAAGGCCCGGCAAAAATTCACCAGGCACTGAAAGAAGACATCCTAGATTTCATCAAGCAAGCACAGGCAGTACGTACTGTACCACTTTTGCACCTACTATAATAAAGTGAAGACTGTAATCAATGCATGCTGAGTCTCTTTCTGATCTGCTTCAGCGAGTACTCAGTCACCAGGATGACACAGCTTTGCTTAAAGCCTACATTGTGGAGTGGAGGAAGTTCTTTACACAGTGTGATATTCTACCTAAACCCTTCTGCAAGCTAGAGATCACCCTGCTGGGTAACCAGGGGAGCAATAAGAAGTCCAGTGTCGAAGACAGTATTGTTAGAAAGGTGGTTTCTATATTATCAATCTATATTATCACTTAAATGCAGTTGTTATTATTGTAACAATACATGCTCAACATTAACATTTTCTTGCTAAAGCTTATGCTAGACACATGGAACGAGTCTATATTCTGTAATATAAAGAACCGGCTCCAGGACAGTGCCATGAAACTGGTCCATGCTGAGAGATTAGGAGAAGCGTTCGACTCGCAGCTTGTCATCGGAGTGCGCGAGTCATATGGTAAAGCTATCATAATGCTAAGCCACTCAGGTTCTGTCTAGATGGACCTCTTCTAATGGACACTCTTGTCTTTTGCTCTGTCTCACAGTGAATTTGTGTTCCAACACTGATGACAAGCTCCAGATCTATAGAGAGAATTTTGAGAAGGCATATCTGGATTCCACAGAGAGGTTCTACAAGACACAAGCACCCTCCTATCTGCAACAGAACGGCGTTCAGAACTATATGAAATATGTGAGTGTATTTTAAAACTGCTCTAAACTTGAAAAATCTGAATGACACTAGTGTTGTCAAAAATAACATATCGATTCTGAATATTTGAAATGGTTTTATTCATTTATATAGTCAGTTGTGCCATTTTCAGGGTGTGTTCTCACTACCTGAGATTATTATTATATAATCACCTTCAGAGCAACTGGATATTTTGATTTTGAGTTTCAGTTGATAATGTACTTTTGACCATAGTCAAAATATTTTTCTTACCTGTTCAGGTTTTATACCCTTAATGTTGTTGCAGTTTTTTCCTGTATTATCAAAAATTGTATCGAATATCGATATTTTAAGTTCCAGCAACTCTAGTTGACACTACAGCTTTCTACTCTGGTGGTTTGTTTAACAAGCATTTATGTGTATGAACGGTAAATCACAGCACATTTCTGAATTATGATAATGATGTGTCACAATATCTGAGAGTTGTTTATCCCTGGTGACGCTTTTGATTGACAGGCAGATGGCAAGTTAAGAGAAGAGGAGAAGCGTGCACTTCGATATCTGGAAACCAGACGTGAATGTAACTCCGTCCAGGCAGTGAGTGTTGCGTGCTCCAAAAATGCTCCAAAACAAGACCCCGTGGTGTGCCGCATTATTAAATAATGCTCAGCGTGTAGTGCGCACTTGTCTTTTTCGCATACTAACATCGGGTGCTCAGTTTGTGCCTTTTGCGTTCATTCAGCTAATGGAGTGTTGTGTGAATGCGCTGGTGACGTCGTTCAAAGAGACAATCCTGGCCGAATGTCCGGGAATGATCAAGCGGAACGAGACAGAGAGTGAGTACGGCAGGAGCTCTGGCACCAAAGGCTCAGCAAGTTCAGGTTGGCAATGGGACCCCGTTCCCATCTATATCTTGCCAACACCTCCCCATCCATCTCACCATCTGTGTGTTTGTGTGCTAAACACTAAGTTCACCAACCCATTTACACTGTAAACAAACACAACAGCATACAACTGAAGGAAATCCCACATTTGTGTAGATTGCATCAGGAACACTTGGTTTAACTCATGTGCATTTTGGCTTTAGAGCTCCATAGACAGGAACTTCATGTTTTTTTTTACTGTGTTAATATGTTTTAATGTAATTGAAGTGTGTTTGTTCTGCTGTTGGTGTGTTTCCACAGAGCTGCACCTTATGTTTTCGCTGATGGACAAAGTGCCCAATGGGATTGAGCCTATGCTGAAAGACCTGGAGGATCATATCTTGAATGCAGGTCTGGCTGATATGGTGGCCACAGCGGAGACCATTACCTCAGTGAGTAGAGACAGTAGAGTCCAGTTCCTGTAAGGCAATCACTGAATGATCTAGGAATAGGAATTCATTCATTTTTATTAATCCTTGTTTGTAAATTTGTATGATTTATTTTTGCGCATATGCTTTGGGGATGTGTGGGACTAGTCTACTAAACGAAATCGCTGCTGCTAGTGGACATTGGAAATACTAGTTCTGGAGTGTGAGCTTCCGGTTGTATAACAGCAAATTTTGATATAAACATTTTGGGTGAACTACTCAATGTAGAATTATAATAATGCAAGGCAAGCACAACGTATGTATATGATCTATTTTTCTGTGAATTCAGAATGGGATTTGACTGTTTGATTTATAGATTAAGTAGGCTTTTTTAAATGGATCGCTGATACAAACTGTTTTTGACTGTGATCTGGGGGTTTCTTCGACTGGTTGGTCATAAAATTTCAGTTTAAACATTATGGAAATTAATCGTGGCACACATCCCTAAAATCCATAATATGGTTCCAAACTGTTTCTCAAAATTCTTAATTATTGCTCTTTATGACTTATTGATGTTTTATTTTTGCAGGACTCTGAAAAATATGTCGAGCAACTCCTAACATTGTTTAACCGCTTTAGTAAATTAGTTAAGGATGCATTCCAAGATGACCCACGTTTCCTAACAGCCAGGGATAAAGTAAGTCTCAATAAATCCAAACCATTCACTGTTAAAGACTTCACTGAAAAATGATATTTATTAATGTTATTTTTATTAGACAAAATAATAATATATATATATTCATGTAATCTATAGGTATAAAAAATACATTACTAAAGGTGGGGTCAGTGAGATTTTTTTTTTTTAAAAGTATTTTATTATTCACCAAGGATGCATTTTTAAATTTCTATTTTAAATAAATATTGTTCTTGTTTTTCTTTTCATTCATCAAAGAATCCTGAACAAAAAGTGTATCAAGGTTTACCCTAAAATATTTGGCAGCTCAACTCTTTTCATCATTGATAGTAATAAGAAATATTTCTTGAGCACCAAATCAGCATATTATAATAATTTATGAAGGATCATATTATGACACTGAAGCCTGAATTAATAATGCTGAAAATTAAAAAAAATACAAATCTGCTTATCCTGCAAGACCATATTCTACGTCCCTTAATCCTACCCAATACTTACTAACAACTACTTTAATATTAATACGCAGTAATTTGGAGTACTAAAAGTCCTAGTTAATAGTTAGTTAATAGTGAGAATTGGACCCTAAAGTGTGACCA